AACGAAATTCTTTAATGTAACCAATTAAACTGTTTAATATTCGTTTAATAATTCTCTATTCCTTGTTTTTCATTTTACTGTTTGTATTTTTTTTATAAATATTGTCTTTGTTACACATATAATATAATGATATTCATGATATTCATGATATTCGAATATCATGTCGATCGTTTTATGAATATCGAATATCATGAATACAAACACTAATGATGACTATGGGCCATAGTCATCATTCTCTGCAATTATATTTATCACGAGTAGGAATGCCTGTTAAATAATCTTCACTGGAATAATAAAATATTTGGCTTGCTTTTTTCACGTTATCGCCCTCGAAGGAGGTTTCAGAAGATTCAAAAACGGAATTTTGGGTAGACATCTTTATTCTGGCAGTATAATATTCACAATAAAATAATTCAAAATGAAAATTAATTCCGGAGAATATAAATAAACACATATTTTAATTATCATATTGTATACAAATGGCATTTTACCGTTGCTCCTATATTCTTAGAACTGGTAAGGAATGTAACCGGGAATGTTATCACCCAAAAGGGTGTAAAGTTCATCGGAATTCGCCACCACGTGTTCCTTGCGGAGAGTGTGGCAAGTTAACTAATTCTGACTATGGTTTTTGTGATACTCATGCTAAAAAACACCGAAGAAAGGCAGAATACTACCGGGAAAAGTCTGAAAAGCTAGCTGAGGATGGAATTGAGGTAAAAGAGTCCGAGTAGACTATATTTTCGAACATTTATAAAAATCTGTTACTAGTAAAAAAAACCACCGCTAAAAAAAATGTCATCAAAGATTTTTGATGACGGATTTACAAAATTTTTAGAGACACATTCTCTATCGAAATTCACAGTTTCAAACCCTTAGAACGTTTATAGATGATACGTCTTCAAAGTCATCAAAGTCATCAAAAATTTTTCGTCTCTTTCAACTTTTTATTTTTATTTTTTTATATTCCAAAAATTTTTCATCACTTTCAACTTTTTATTTTTATTTTTATTTTTTTCGTTTTTTTTTTCCTATAATATCTTCTTTATTTTTAATGACTTTGATGACAGATATAAAGAAGATAATAAAATAACTTAAAACTTAGAATTCCGATAGAGAATGTGTCATCAAAGATGATATGACACCAAAGATTTTCAATGACAAGTAAAAAATGCCGCTAAAAAAATATAACGAAATATATCCTTGGACGAAAATGGGCAATGCGATAGAAAATACATTCTACATATTAAATCTACAAAGTATTTTCTAATATGATAAATAGATTTGGCGGTAAGTCTTTCCGCTTTCTTTTCTCAAACAATTTCGCCTGTTTATAAAGAATCTTCCATCTTTTATAAAATGACTTATGTAATTCGCTTGAACATGCAAGACGAAGATGGAGCTTTAGTAGATGATCGACTTGCAGATTAAGTGGAGAATAAATATCTTTAATTTCATATGCAAGTTTACGTCTATCTCTCCAATTTATTCCCGAATAAATAAATTCATTAGTTTGAACACGCATTTGCTCTCCCTTTTTCTCAATCCATTCTAATTGTTTTTTTATAGAATCAAGATCTTTATTAAACTTGTTAATAAGGCATCTCGATGCTTCTAGATTCCATTGACGGTTTACGGTAAGACAAGAATAAAGATCTCCATAGTCAAGATTTATAAATATATTTTCAAGCAATTCCGATATCATAAGAGTGCTTTTCAGAGTAATTATCACAGCTTAATACAGTTTGCACGAAAAAATTCAAATCAAAAAATTATTACATAAAACTCCATCGTTATGGATGTCAATTACGATCACTAAAAGCGTACTTTATTTTGTCAACATTTTTGAGTCGTCATATAAATGCGGCCAAAAATCAAAAATTAGCCGCACTCGAATAAGGCTGAAAATGACTACTTCATCAACCCGCAATCGAATGACATCATACAAGTGAATGCATTATTGGGATGCATATGAATACTATTTATTTATGTGGCCAGAAATAAAAAATTGGCCGCATACAAATTTCATGATTCCATCTGGGCGGCTAAAAAATAAAAAATGGCCGCACTCGAATGTGGCCAAAAAATCAGATTAGGCCACATAGGTAGGTCACCACAAAACAATTAATTACGCAAAAACGTACATAATAAAACACAAATAAATTTCATCAAATTGTGATTAAAGTTCTCAAGAATATGTATGCAAAATTTCAAATTTTTGTAATGTTTGGGATAAAAAGTTCAACCAAAAATAATTTTTTGGAAATGATCTCCAAAATTTTGATTTTATTTGCAAGTATCTTATATCACTTCTCAAAAAAAAAACGCGCGTAATAACCACACCCGAAATTTTACTTATTTGTATGCAAGTCAACACTTTGTTGGCCGCCCATTATTGGATATAACAGCTTCTATTCTTCTCGGCATACTTTCTATCAAATTCATATAAATATTTCTAGGAATTTGATTCCATTCTTCATGTAAAGCGGTCTCAAGTTCAACATTATTTTTAAATTTATTTGGACGTTTCCGAATACGAATTTCTAATTGATTCGTTTGATAATTACGAATAGGAATAGAAATTTAAAAATATTTAGCACATATGGGGGCGTGGGAAAATAGAAATAGACCATGGTTGTGAAAAAAAAGCACCTTTGAGTTAAAGGTATAGTAAATTACTTTTAATTTTCTTATATGCAATTCGTCACAAAGATTAATTCTATATAGTAATAGGCAGGAATGTGTTTTCAGACCATTTTTATGTGATCACAAACCACTTTGCACATGACATATTTCCCACCGATCTATAACAAAAATCTTCGACAACTTCATCTTCAACAACGACATTAACAACCCAACAACAACACTAAAAACAAAGCAACAATGACCTGGTGGTCAATAAACACGAGAATGAGTTTGATTTCAAGGATGATAGCTCCTTGAAACTACCAGTTCGTTGAAGCTGGAAAAAGTTATCGATATCCAAAAATATTATAATTCGAAAAGCCATACTGACACTCAAGAGGTGCCCACTAAAGGTAAATATATTTATCCGTTTTTTTTCGAATTATTATTGTTAGTTATTTTTTTATTGAAAAATCAATATTTAATTGGTATCTTTATCATCATCCCATCAAACTATCAGAACAACTGGTCCGATGAAAAAGACTTTCAGCCTGAATATATTAAAAAATAAAGAATAGTGGTAGCGATGAAATCCGGGCACTCAACAATTTTTGAAAGAGGAGGATAAGTCAAATCTTGATATTTGTTTATTAATAAAAGTTAGAAATATATAGATTAAATAATGTCTTCGATGTATATTAATTAAATCATTCATTCATTACTTTGATAATGAAAGATTACACATTTAAAAATTTTTTTTTAACTACACACTCCAGAAGCTAAAATAAACTAATTCAATTTAATAATTAACGAACAACTTGATTATAAATATAATACATAAAATCTCATTTACCTGAATTATTCTCTATATTATTAAATTATCTAGTACCATCTGGCATTAATCCCTTTTCTTTTAACCTAATTATATAGATAGATACATTAGTAAATTAATAGAGGATTATTAATATAGAATAATTCAAAAATAACTACCATTGGTTTGGTGATAAGGATGCCTATAATCAATCCAAGAATTGTTATTAACAATGTTCCTTTACTGAAATCTTCACTTAGTACATCAAATGTTTTTGATGGTGCTTCTCTTGTGAACCACAAATCCAAACCATACGCAAGCACAAGTGATGTCGACTCTAGTAAAGCTGGTGATGTTATAATCCGTTTAACACCAGCAACCTAAAAATCAACAATAGGCCTTTTAGATTATATATGTATAAATATATATAAATATAAAAAGATCGTTTAAAATTGTCATACACTTAAATAATAGCTTAGTATAAATTTTTTATTATCTGGGATTGCAGGGTCATATGGGATAAGCATTTCTTCTTTATCCTCACTAGTTAAAGCATGCAGAGGTCTTCTAGGATCCAATATTCTCTTAGATAAACCAAGTATTTGATCAGTATCCAATGCAACTGTTGTTATCATTAAAACTGCGTGTTAATTAATAATAAGACAATATTGATAATAAATTATTTAAATTTCAAAAAGATTCACATAGAAATTCTCTTATCGCTATTCCATTCTTCGTAGTAGTAACACCGATAGTTTTAACACCATATGGCAACATAAATGCTTGTGCATTTACATAAGGACGTTCATGCGAAAATGATGAAAAAACAGGACTAATAATATTGGATAGAATAAATTTTAATAAACATAAAATAGACATAAGATAAATGTGGCTTGGATGATGGCGATGATGATTATTTTAACACATACCTATTTATTCTTTCATCTTTTTTTTCACTTTCATAAAAATCATAAACAACTACTTGATAACCTTTTGTTGATTCATTTTCACTCCAAAATACATATAAAACAGTATTTTCTACTTGAACAATATTTATTGGATGTATTTTCCCAACATTTTCATGTTTATATTGATACAATATCGATCCCTTAACTATATCTATCAAATATATATTTAATGTTGCAGTTGAGGATTCTGATGATGATAATGTGGCGACTGCAACCAAATGTGGATTTAGATATTTGTATAGAACTGATCGATCACCAAGAACACGGCCAAGTGATGCAACTTTTTCTTTTATCGCAATAAATAAATAAGTAAATAGTAAATAATAATTCAAGCATGCTTTTAGCAATAAATGAAATAAATTGTGAAAATCGCTAATTAAAAAACCAGTTAACAATCAATGACTTAATTTACCATATTGAGGTCTATGACCAATTGCAGAAATCTTTTCATCATCTGGAAAATGGATATTCCAAACTTCGGATATGTCAAAATGTTGAAGCTGTTATTTATTAAAGAGTTAATAATATATTATAAAAATATTCAAATTCTAAACATGTTTACACAAACCTCATCACTAATGTTGGCATTAACACTGTAACCTTTTAATCCTTCTGAGTGAATAGTATTCTCAGATAATGTAAAATAAAATGAAGGAGTGAAATTTTTAAATGCTTTCCTAGAGTTTTTATGATTTGGATATAAATGAAGCTATAGATATCGTAACAAGTATTGTGATTAGAAAAACTTTATAATATAATAATATTTAGATGATTTTCTTGACTAACTTTTGAATCATCATCAATTACTGCAATAATATGCATCCTCTCATCAGGTTCTTCAACTGGTAGTTTAAATATACGACGAGAAATGCCTGATATTGAGTAAATAGGAGGATAATTTTCTACATGTTCGTTAGATATAAAATCTTCCCCAGTAAGAGCATTTAGTCTGATAAATTTAATGTGGTAACTTTCCTAAATAAATTGTATTAAATAAATGCGGATAAATATATTGGATGTCAAGGCATACACACATACACACATATATATATATTAACATTTTATATTTACCTCTTTAATCTGGTGTCCAATGGCAACAATAACTGGTGGATATTTAACTGTTGATGAACGAACAACTATTAATTTTTCAAATGAGCGTATTTCCTTGCCAAAATAACGCGACCAAACAATCTGGCCCTTATTTCCAGTGTCTAAAGCTACTAATTTATTTTTTGTTAGGAAAATAAGCAATTTACGAAAACCAAATGTGTCCCTGTAAAGAATAGGTTTTCCTTTATCGTCTTTAGAAATAGGTTCTACAGAATAGTCACCAGTAACAAATCTTTGTACATATGTAGTCAAATAAGCTGGTAAGTCCTAATTTATTAAATGGCAGATAAAAAACTTAATTAATTGGAATTTCTTAAAGATAACAAACAAAATCCATAATAACTGAGGATCAAAAAAACAAGCAATTAATTAATGATTAATTACTTTAAGTTGTTCTATATGCTTAAATAATCTTTTAAAATAGCGGGTCAATGGATTAAAAGATTCAGTTTCTTCCGGTTGTTCAGCTTTATAATTATAATTATTGTTATTTTTTTAAATTAAAAAAGTTAAATTAAAAAAATATATATTTAAAGTACATTTTTCTAAATATTACCAAGTTCATCAGTTTCTTGTGTCCATAGTTTTCTTCCACTCAAGAAAAAAATATATTATCATTTACCTGAATATCATTTTTAAAAGGATCTCTCACTTCGCCCTGAAAACTAAAGCCTATTAATAATTATATGTATGTGTAGAATTTGTTACTTTAATTTAATGTTTAATCGACAACCTATTATTGAGAATATTATCACCATTTACCAAATATAGCATCTATCACAAGATCACTCTTTTCTAAATGATCGTGTAAATTATTTGAAATTGCAATTTGAAGATTTTTACATTGTTGAACTAATCTCTATGATAGAGGCAAATAATCATTAATTATAAAGCAATATAATTTTCAAAAGTAATTAAAAAAATTATTTAAAAACCTGATATAATTCTTTATTAGTTTGTTTTGGATAATAAATCTTGGGTTGATAACCAAAATGTGAAAGATGCCTTGCTGCAACTAAACCTTTTTTCCAAAAAAAAATATATTTATACATGCATACTCGAACGCACGAATCTTTTAATCTTTCGTTATATTACCATCTCCGCCATTATTTCCTGGACCACAACAAACCAAAATACGTGAATGGTTTGATTTATCATAAACATGAGCAACCGCTTGAGCAATACTTAATCCTGCAAGTTCCATCAACTTTTTTTTATTATTGGTTAATTAAAAAACATTAAAAAATTAATTATTGATATTTTTGTACAATAAAGACATTTTTTATAAATAAAAATATGTGCATTTATGATTAATTATATATGAACCTGATCAATTGAAAAGCCACCACCAGCTGGTGACATTAATTCTTGATCAATTGTTTGAGCAATTTTTTGAGATAAATACTACGCATAAAGAATTTTTTTAAATAAAATGTTCGAGTACAGTGTATACATATGTATAAATTCATAAATTACTACTACACCTTCAAAGACATGTTCCTATTTTATTTTTGAAAAAATGAAAAGTGAATAAATTATTTTAATATTAAGCTATACGCGATTAGTCAATTCAAATTTACCCTAATTCGTAATTGTCACATTGCAGTAATAAATTTTTTTTTAATTGTATAGATCATTTTTTATTATTATCAAGAATGAGTTTTTTAGAGCTTGACCTTCAAGCTCCAGGCACACCATACAAAGAATTTTGCTTGACCTTTTCTTGGGCTGTGTATACGTTTGAACAATATTTAAGGTGATTAATTACAATAACAATAATAATGCTTTTTTTAACGTTGATTTAAAAAAATTTTTTCTATTCAGCCTTTCGGTCTTTACAATTATTTTAAAATTTATGAATATTTTTTAATAGTTATCGACAATATCTTAAAATCAAAGAACCTAAGCCACCAAAATCTTTACAACATATAGAAGAAGTCATTAAAAAGTTCTCTAAAACACAAGAGTATAGTTTGGATAAAGCTAGATTTTCATTTGTATCAACCCTGATAAGTCAAATACAAAGTACATGGATAATTGTATTTGACATTCTTCCATGGCTATGGTCTCTTTCAGGTGATTGGTTGGTGTATGCTGGATATGAGAAAGATTATGAGGTTATTGATTGATTAATTAATTATTATGTTTTCTATAACAAAAAAAAAGTGATAATAACAAGCTTTAATTTCATTGTTAATTATTATCGAATTTGTTGAAAAGATTACACATTCGTTGGTTTTCACGGTGGTCTTTATCTTAATGACTTATTTGATGTCACTTCCATTTAGTCTTTACTATACATTTGTTATCGAAGAACGTCATGGGTTTAATAAAATGACAGTAGGATTGTTTTTTATGGATATGATTAAAGGCTTTTTAATTGCAGGAGTTATAGGATTACCAATTTTGGCATTACTTTTGCAAATAATCAAGTGGAGCGGAGATTCTTTTTATTTTTATGTATGGATATTTACGTAAGATTTTCAAATGTTTTCAGTGTATGTTTTTCTAAAGAGAATAATTATATACATACGCATATGATATATATATATATATACGTTATTTTTTAAATAATTTTTTAGGATAATTATCAACTTTGTCTTACTCACAATATATCCAACGCTTATTCAACCTTTATTTAATAAAGTAACTCCGCTGCCAAAAGAAGAACTTCGTTCACAAATCGAAGCTTTGGCTTCTCGTGTCTCATTTCCTCTTAAAAAATTATATGTAATTGATGGTAGCAAAAGATCAAGTCATTCAAATGCTTACTTTTATGGATTTTTTAAAAACAAAAGAATTGTTTTATATGACACTTTAATTGAACAAGCTGATACTGAAGAAATACTGGCAGTAGTGTGTGAGTTCACTATCATAATAATAATGTCTTTTTGTTGTTTACTTGGATTAGGATTATTTTCTAATAAATTTCTATTTATTAGGTCATGAACTGGGACATTGGTCTTTAAATCACACTGTCAAAGTTTTAATCATCTCTCAACTTCATAGTTTTTTAATCTTCTTTTTGTTTTCATTATTCATTCATAATACTGCATTATATCAGTCATTTGGATTTACAACACAACCAACTTTAATAGGCTTTATGCTTTTTCAATTCATCTACTCACCAATTGATAATGCAATATCGTTTTTCATGAATATTCTAAGTAGGAAACATGAATTTGAGGCTGGTTAGTAATCGTTTATAATAATAATAAATCTTTTTTATTTTTTAAAAAAAAAGTGATTAAATATTCTTTTTCTTTTCTTGATCAGATGCATATGCAAAAAAATTGGGTTATGGAGCTCAGCTTCGCTCAGGTTTAATTAAATTACAAATAGAAAACTTGAGTAATTTGAACAACGACTCTTGGTATTCTGCATATCACTTCTCGCATCCACCTTTACCAGAAAGATTAAGCGCATTGGAGAAGATTGAATGAAAAATCATTTATTTATATATTATTTGAAAGTTTTATAACAAATTTTTTATTATTATTATTAAAAAAAAAATTAGTTACATCGGTTTTACCTCAAATATTTACCAAAAGATTATTACTACTTATTGCTTATTCAACTAATATAATTTTTAAAGAAACAATTTAAACATTTGTTATTATTTTTTATTTTAAAGTATATTAATCATTAATACCTTTACCCTCTTCGTATTACTCCATTTTGATTTGGAATCTTTGCCCTTGTAAGTTGAACTATTCGTGGAACTTTGCACGTGACAATATATATAAATACAAATTTAACAATGAATGCCTTGAAAGACACCACAGTTACAGACAGAAGGTACATTAAATATTATTATCATCATGATCATTATTGAAAAATATAAATAAATAAATCTTTTGTTTAAATAAAATCAGATATTGTTAATTTGCTTGTTGTAATTATCAATAAATATGGGCATCGAACAATTCAATCAATATTCATATTCAAAAGACATTAATATTCGCAGAATTAAAAATAAACAAATAAAATTCCAAAAAAATAAAGTTGTCTTTGAAGTCATTGAGAAATTAGAACAAAGTGCTAAAGACTTAGCTGAAGCAATAAATACAGCTGAAGCATGAAAATTTTGACAAAAAGGTCTTTTGAATGATGAAATCAAAGAAAAATTGCTAATGCTCCAAAAGTCTGATGAAATTCTTGAAGAGGAAATAAACAAAGAATGCAAAGTTGCAAGAAGAATTAGCCCAAAAATTAGAAATGTTAAGAAATATTGATTGGAGATTTGAGGATGAAGCAAAAGAAAAAGAAGAATTAAAAACATAACTATATTTGGAAAGAAAACCCTTACCCTCTCTTCCTAAAGAAGTAGAAAGTAGGACTTTAAATAAACAAAGCATTTTCAAGCAATTAAAAACAAAAACAAAAGCCAAGGTTCAGCAGTTGCAGAAATTAATCAAAAGAGAGAAGTTTCACAGTCAAGCAATTGTTGCTAAAATAGAAGTTCTAGTTAAGTAGTCATGAGAGAACTGCTTTACACAATCTTAGATTTAGAAGAATGACACAGCAGTAATTCTACTTGTGTTTTCTGCCCTGATTTAAAAAAAGCAGTTTGTCAAATCAGAACACAAAGCAAAGCAACTGGTGAAATGGTTGAAAATGATAAGGCTTGTGAAAACTGTAAAGAGAAGTTTGAAAATGATGAATTTCCCAAGTGTAATTGTGGAAGATTAAAGGCTAGATATACTTGTGATTGAAAGAAGAGAAAATGAAAAAGAACTTCATCTTTTACCTCATCAAAATGGAGGAATGGCACTTTTTTACAAACAGCAAATAAATGGCTTGCAATAAAAGGAAAGACAGTTAGAAGAGGAAGTAGATACACACTTGGAAGCCTTAGAAATAGCTGAAGATTGGCATAAAAGACAGAAACAGGAATTATTATATTGAATTAAGCAATTAGAAAAAGAAAATAAACAACTAAAAGAATTAACTCCACAAGAATTAATAAAAGAGATTGATGAGTTAAAAACTCAATTACAACAACAAAATGGTCAATTAATTGCTCAAATTGAAGTTAAAAAAACTAAAAAATGACCTTGATTGAAAATTAAAAATTAATACAAAGTGCACAAAAGAAACTGAATATTACGTTGGCCGGAAGCATTTGCAGGCCATTCACCG